GGGCGGCGGCGGCGGCCCTGCGCTGCCATTGGCCCAGGCGCGGGGGCTCCTCTGACAAAGGCCGGCCTCTTCCGCCATCCTCCCTCCGCGCGTGCCCACGCGCCGCCCCCCCGCCCGCGCCGCTGGCTTCAGGGGCTCGCCCGCCGCCCGTCCCTCTCGATTGGCCGAGCGGCGCCCTCGCTCTTCTCTTATTGGACAATTTCCGCGTCAATCAAGGCTGAGAGGAAGACGGGGCGGGACTTACGCGCGGTCCTCCCTTCTCATTGGCAGGCTGGGATAGCAGTCAAGCGAGCGAGCCGCCGCGCGGGTGCCGAGCCTTAAAGTGACATGGGCCGGAGCGGGCTCCCTTACGGCCGACATGGCGGCAGCTAGGGGCGGCCGGCCGCACACGCTGGGGCTCGGAGGGCGTCTCTCCGCGGTGAGGAGCAGGACGGGCGGGCCGCTTGTGAAATCCGGGGGGTAGCGGCCGGGCAGCGCGGGGCCGGCGGCTTGCGTGCCGGGAGCCGTACGGGCTGTGGAAGCTGGCTTGTCTGTTATGCATGTGTGTGTATATATATACGTGTGTGTGTGTATCTACACGTGTATATAGATGCTTATGTGTGTGCATATATATATTTATGTGTGTATACGTGTGTGTGTGTGTATAAACATGCCTATATACACATGTGTATGTTTGTATGTATATCTGTATATATGTATGTGTAAACCTATGGTGCATTCACGCATGTTTTCTAAAGCGACAGAAGAAAAGATACTCTGCTATTGAGCATCTTTCTGTCCCCACGCCAGCGTCTGGAGATGGTGTTTGCAGGTGAACGGAACAAAATGCTGCCTTTGGTTTGCTCCCAGACGTGTCCCGGGGCTTCGGGCTCTGTGGTGTTCGCCGCTTTCCGGAATAAGTTGCTGTTTTAGTTGCTTTTCCGTGTTCTGGCAGTTTTTCGCGTGAGAAGCTGTGTGTTGGGCGCGCCCTGGAGGAGCAGGCTGCGGAGGGGTGGTCCGCTCCTCTGCGGGTCTGGCGTCTCGCTGCCGGGGTGAGCGCCCGGCCTGGGGTTCTCTTGGGTGTCTCCTGCCCTGCAGTGTGCTCCCATACCTGGGCCAGCAAGAGGAATCTGGGCACTCTTTCCTCACCAAAATTGTTTCTAGCAAGCCTGGAGAGCGATCTCAGAAAACTCGTTTCAGTCTACAGTAGGTAAATGTAGGCTATTTAATAGATTTGGTAAGCCAAACAGAACTTTTGGGGAAAAAAGTTACCTACTGTATACATCTGGCACTCTACAGCAGATAATTGACAAAAAATACTGTATCGTGCCAACATTTTTTCCTCTCCATTTGATGTAATTGCTTAACTAAGTTAACTTTTTAATGTCTGTTTTAACTAGAAATGTTACTGAAATGTAGAGTGCTCCTGACTCGGTCTCTATCAGGGAGGCACAGCCAGCACTTAACTTGGCCTGTGGGTGATAGGAGCTGTCCTTCCTTCCCCTTCCCTCCATTCCTAGTTTGAATGACTGGGTACTTGAATGTTTCATAATCACTACATTTAGTATCTCGTTATTTTTGGGTTTTTTTCGTTATTTTGGGGGTTTTTTTCCTCATTCCCTACATAATTTTCCTGGGTTGACTTTTTTTTTTTTTTTAAGCCATGTGCAGAGGCTGCTGTGTATCGCTTAAAGCATTGCCAGGTATCAATCTTTTTTTCTTTCTTTTTTGGTTATGAGCACCCAGATGAGAACTTGCAATAACACCCAATTCTAATTTAATCCTTTTTTAAAAACTCTCTGTATGAGTTTGTGTCTTTGTTTTCCTCCCACTGTGTTTAGCCTTTGAGAGCTTTGGGAGGTCCCTGTGCTGGTGATTTGTTAAGTTATCTCTGCTCTGTGTTTTTAATATTCCCTTCTTTCTGCTTGAGGAGGCAGCTGCTGATATTTTGGGAGGCAGTGTTCTCAGACCTGTGAAGATAAGAAGTGCTCAGCTCACTGTTATGTAATAGGGTGCATTTGTCTCCTTGTGGGACTGTTAAGCTTCTTCACTTACTACTCTGAGGCTTTAGTGCGGCTTAAAGACTATGAGGAGTACCCTGAAAGAGAGGAGATATAGTTAGCAAACATGATCTAGCTGAGATTCAGAACAACAATATAGAGCTTCCTGTTTTGTTTTTTTTTTCTCAATTTTCCTGAGCATCAGAGCATGATACTCCCTGTGAGACTTTTCCAATTTAAATGGTTTTTAATGAATTCAGAGATAGGGGGGAAGAGCAGAGAATCACTGTGATGTTTGAGCTTTGTGATGGGAAATTCCTCTATGCTGTTTGGTAAACTTTCCCAAAGTATTCAGTCAAATGATTTAAAGTTGTTATTTATGAAACTGAATATAAGCCACTCTTTTGCTTAAAAGTAGGTGAGAAATATATGTGTGGTAGCAAATTATTTAGACTGAAAAAAAGAGCAATTGTCTGTGTAATAGAGTATATTCCAGCACAATTTTTTTCAGTAGCTATTTGAAGCAGATATCTGTACTGACTATTACACTATTCAAATTAGTATTACTGGCTGTTCAAATTAGGTCCTATTGCCTGCATCCATGTGACATGTAACCAGCCAAAAGACTCAATTTGCTTTGCTTTGTGTTAGTTTGGTGCTCCAGGGTTTTAAGTACAGCAGCTTTTTCTTTCAGTTAGACTGCTGTTGGCTAGAAAAATGTTACTAATGGCAGTAAAAACAAACAGAAGAATTCCTTTACTTTGGTGTTTTTATGCAGTTACATTTAATTTTTAGACAAAACTTTACCTGTGAAGACATAAAAGATGATAATGACATCTAGAAGGATTGTGATGCTGTCCAGCCCTACTTTGGCTTCAAGCTGATTCCCCTTTTTCTTTTGACTGCTTGATGGGGTACCTTTGGTTTGAGTCAGTGGCAGACAGGATATTGATATTTGAATCAATAGTTACTGTTTGGGTTACTGAGGCTTATGTTGCTGCTGTTCCTGTACTGCCTGCTGCAGAAGTGCTGTGTTTTGCTTGGTTCATTTTTACTCCATCATTTGGTCTTACTATTGTGTGCTCATCAATGCCATATCCTGTAATGCTAATGACATTTTTGATGTTAGCACCTAACAGCCTTTTGATTAGGTGGATTCATGTGTTCTGGTTAGACTTGTGAGGCTGCTGAGTGTGAAACAGTGTGTTTATGAACAAAACACCTGTTCAAAATAGTTTTATTAAAATATTCTTGATTAGGGATTAGTGTTTTAATTCACTTTCTGTGGTAGAGAATGTGTGTGCAAATGCAGTTATTTTGAGAAAAGCTGTTATGTTGTGTAGGAAAACATTATAAAAGCAAACTGCAAAGCTGTTAATAAATAAAACTGCTTAGAAACACCAATTTATACACTCAGGATAGTTAGGATCCTAATTTTCTTGCTCACAATGAATCACTGTGTTTATAAGAGGAAATCGGCTGTGTAAGGGCTTTAAATAACTTAAAATTTTTCTTAATATTTTCCCCCGTATTTGGCTCCTCATAATGCATTTTGAGCTGTTGTGTAATTTGCTATGAGAGACTTAATACTTTCTGTATTTTAATTTAGGTCATTATATGCTCCCGGTGATTGGTATGCAAAAGTGTAAAAACACCCTGCCAAAATCAGCAATTGCTCATTTTACCTACTGAGGAACAGGGAAGCTGTAGGAGCTTTACATCTGCCTGCAGCCCACCTCTCTTAGGGTGCTTTCAAATTCTGTCACTGAAATGTTTAGTGATGGGTGCAGTTGGGAGAAGTTAAAAATAAGCATTTAATTTAATTTGTATATATGTATTTTAAAACTTAGGCCAGGTAGACAGTGTTTGGGTCAAAACCATAAACGCACAATTCTCCCATGTCTCCTCTATTTAGAAGAGCATCTTCCCAGCTAGGTGGCCCTTTCAGGTCATTGCAACATCCAAAGCACAGCAGGTGTTTGCAGAATTGGTGCAGACTGCTGGGAAATCCATGATTTCTACAGCCACGTTTTTCAGAACAGTCTGAAGCTGATTTAAGAGTACATTATTGCTTGGAGGCAGGAATACTTTCCTGGCTGTGATCTGCTGGTTTTCCAGTGCTGATACCACTAATCAGGTGTAGCATAAAGTCATCTGGATGTGAAGTCTTGGGAATTTCCATCTACTAATGGAAAGATAAGGAAAATGAATGAATAAGGAAGTGAGTGGAGTTGGAGGGATTGGGGCTCTCACCTCACCTTTCCAGCTTCAGTCTCCTGTACCCCATGTGCAGTCAGTGAGCTCTTGTGTTACATCAGGGGGTGCAGGAGCATGGTCCCGGGTGTGCCTTATCAGGTTTGGCCACCTTAGTGCACTATCTTGTCAGTAAATGTAACCAGACTTTAAGATGTTTGTTTTCCAACGGATTGTGGGTTGCCTTCTCCCAGTAAGTAGTAGACAGTACAAGTAAATGGAAAAAAAAAACAACAAAAGTGTAAATCAGAAACTAGTAAGGGAAAGACGTTCTTCTGGTTGATACTGTTTTTAGTGGAGAGGGAGTGGGATGTAAAATGACACATCCTAAGGCTATAAAGAAGGAAGTACAGCTTTTAGATACGAGTCTCCTGTAGCAGTATTTCTACACATCATCTCATAGAATCTTACTTTATTTTTGTTGTTGTGTCAAAGAAACAAATGTGCTGAATAACAGGTTTATTTTGTTTTCAGAATGATCTGCAAAACACTCAGAGCTCTACATCAGCCACAGATGGACTCTCTTCAGCTTCATTTATAGACTATCCAAAGCACAAGCCATTTATTAATTCAGATTTGCAGCGTTCCCCATGGAAACCAGTAATTCCATATCCTGAAAGCCACAGCAGAGGTAATAGTTCAGCAAAGTTGTTTTCTTACATGTTTCCAAATCATAGTAAAATACTGTGTCTTCCACACCTATGAAGGTTGCAGTCTTTTTATCCTTTTATCAATTCCCAGTGATGTCCAGGTCACCTATTTTGTACGTTCTTGGCACTTCTCTTTCCAAGGAACACCTGATGATAAAGGTCATCTTACACATGGGGACATACTCTCCTCTTCAGTAGTAGAGAATTGTAAAATTGTCTGCCAGTACAAATTTATGAACTACTCAGGTCTTTTGTCCCTTCTTCAGTCTTTCTCTCCTTCAGCTTTTCCTCTGCTGAGTTCCTAGCTGAGTTAGAAATAAGGAGGTTTTAGTCCCCAGAATGGTTTGCAGCAAAGGAAGAGGTTTGGTCCTGTTAAAATTGGAAGGCTTGTCATGGACAAAGGATGTGTTGTGAGAATTTTCGTATCAGTGAAGACTTAAAGGATACAGAGGAGGCTTCAGCAAAGTGCTGAACTGGTGCTCACAACACCAAAAATGGAGGCAATTTTACTCCCATTTATTCTTGTTTCTAGGCTATTCCTTCTCTTTCCCTTCACATGCTGGACATGAACAAAAAAACTGTTCTTGGTTAGTTTTTGGTCGTTTTAGTGAATTAGTTTGTCATATAGTGACTCTTACACCAGAGCTGCGTTGGGGTACGTACAAGGTGCATCATGAGGTGTTGGGAGACCAGAGCAGGACCAGTCCATTGAAGAGCAGTTTGGCTCAGGGTCATTGCAGAAATGCTCCCTTTTAAGACTTGAGTGTTATAGAGGCTTAAAGGTATGAATTACTTGATATTTTTTCCTTGTTGAGAAAAGTAAAAAATGTTTAGGATAAATCCAAATATTACCCAAACTAAGTAAAAAATCAGGATGATAGCCTCAAGTCCCTGTTCCAATTAATGTCTGAGTTACTAGGGACTTGTATGTTAATGACCTTAAAGATGAAATCTCAGTTCTTGCAGCACTATTTAAAATGTAGTATATACTCTCAAGGCCATCAGTTTTCAAAGTGCTGTTGACACAAAACTAAAACAATCTTTACAGATGAAAAATTGGATGTGCAGGAAAGAGCTTCCTTATGAATTACTGATGCAGGTGTATTTTTGTAGAGTGTGCTGCATGTTGCGTTAGCAATAAAGTTTTGACTACCAAGTTTTCACTTGGCAATTTTTTTTTCTGACAGTGACTCTGCCGACTCTGAAATAAGGATGGGTGGTGGAAGACAGTCAGATAAATTATATCCTGTTTTAGAAAGTAGCAATTTTTTTATTTTCAAAAAATGTTTAATTGAATTGCAAGTGAGCGTGAGTATGTACTGAAAATTTAATCCAACTCATGGATAATTCAGTATGTTTCTCTTTTCGCATAGCTTTTAAAAATGCAGAAATATTACTCAGTGTATAGCTGAGTAAATTTAAGGATGTGGAAATTAATTTCAAATGGCAAAATTTGATTATTCTTGAGGGTCCTCATTGCTCGTCCCATTCCCTATATTAAATCTTACTGAAAAATCCTGAAATTGAGTATAGTAGAGTCTGTTTATTGTGGGTTTAATGTCTTTGTATTATATGTGCGTGTCAACGTGCACAGTTGGCTTTAATACTCTAACAGGAATGACTGAATAGCACTTGGCCTGTTGGGTTTCTCCGTTACCTAGTCACTGCTTGAGTTGCTTCATTGCTGTGTTTTTTAGTCATTATTGTGTATATATGGAGATTTCAATGTAGCTTTTAACAATAATAGTAACAAACCTGTTCATTGTTTCAGCTATGCCCATTTCAAGTGAATCCTACGAACAGTAAATAGAGAAGAGGGTGCAATTGCTGGTTCTGACATTGCAAATAGGGCCAAATTATCAATAACTTACCCTTAACTGTGACTGCTGTTGTTACTTATGTACTGAACAGGTTTGCATTGATGTGATACTCTCATGTGTTGTTATTCACTTCAAGATTTGGTAATGTTTTTTAAATTTTTTTTTGTGTTATCTGATGGCCAAACCAATATGCAGTCCCAACTCTTCCAGTGCTCAAGCATGCTTTATTACAGGTACATGCTTTCTCTGGAGTGGTTTTAAGTACAAAGGAATGGGCTAATGTGACCTTGCAGATTAGTCTGCTATTTGAGCTGTATGTACAGATGTTGCTATGTTTAACTTCAGCAGCACTCCATAGGGGAAAGGGCTTATAGTTATGGTTCCCTTCACAGAATTAAACAGCCCAGCTACGAGACAGGTAATACATCAGATTACCAGCAGATGGTCTAATTGCAAGTTGAGGTGTGTTCTATTACAACTGCTTTTCCTTTTTTGGTGAAGAATATAGAAAGGCTTTGTTTAGTAACTGCTAAAGCTGGGAGTGCAGCAGAAAGGCAAAATGGTTCAGCACTAAGGAGATGGATGTTTTTAGATGGAAGAGGGGAACACAAAAACCAGAAGAATTAAAAAAGAAGTCTACTTATTTATAAGCCCTTCTCATTGTTAACCTTTACTATGCTGTGTGGCCATTCATGGGAACGCTGTTTGTGTATTTGTTGTGATAGGAAGAATATTAACATGGAAAATTGCCACTGTTTTTACTATCTAGTTGTAATTTTTCATTTCCGTTTGATAAAGGGTCAAAGGATACACTGTTTGTTCTCAATTGACACAATATTCATACACTTTGTTCTGGGAAATAGTTGTATCTTTCCCAAATGTGTCAGGTGAAGGGTGTGCACTAAGGGCATCTATTTGTTTGAGACTAGTTTTAGAATCAGTTATGATTTAAATTAAATTATTTAATTCCTGGAAGGACTCTTGGATACTGGTAAGGAACACTCTGACCTTCTTACATTACATGCTTTTTTAATAACATTTCAAGTTTAATTTGTCTTGAAGTGATGATTTAATGGTGTCTAACAAAAGGTACTTGTTCAATTGCAGCAATATTTTCTGCTCTGAAGAATCTCCAGGAAAAAATTCGTCAGCTGGAGCTGGAACGGTTTGAGGCAGAGGAGAATGTAAAACACCTCAGCAAGGAAACAGCAAACTTTAAAAAAATACTGAGTGAACAAATGCAAGACAAAGAACGGGACAAGACTGAAGTGTCAAAGAAAAATCAAGGTTGTTTGCAAACTGTATATAGATACTATAGAACATTGATGTGGATGAAACTTGATTCCTATAAAGGCATAAACCCATTTAATTTACTTTGTTCAGCATCTTTTAATTTGCAGTAACATGAGGAGGTACAAAGAAAGAATTTTAAGGCATTCTTCTTTTTAGGGGTTTTTATACAAAAGTTCATTAGGCATAATATGCAAGTTTCTTAGGTTGTCCTTTTCTTGTTTGTTTTGAAACTATCCTGAAAACAACAACAAAAACAATCCCAGGAACAAGTAATGCATGATTTATACTTTCTGCCTTCTCTTATCTTCAGAACTGACTTCGCAGCTGGCAGCTGCTGAGTCTCGATGCAGACTTCTAGAGAAACAGCTGGACTACATGAGAAAAATGATCCAGCATGCAGAAAATGAGAAGTCACATCTCTTGGAGAAACAGGTGTGTTCCCAAAACTATCTCAGGGTTAAATCATAAAAGTCATTAATTATGTAATGATTTTTCATAGTTACTGTAATTTTTATACCTTTAAGTGTGGGTGTCTACTTCAGCTGGCCTTCATATGCTTGGGTATGGATAACTTCCCTACTTAAATTTACCAGTCTTCTCATGACCCTGGTATTTTCTTTGTACACTTGTTTCTAAGGCAATAGCAGGCTCTGGCATTAATATGAATTGTTTGTTTCTGCATGATTGGCTTACTGCAGTAGCTCATCCTTATCCTCCAGTGTTATACCTGTGTGCCACTGGGAAACACCCTCCCTTTTGTGTTTGCAGTCTTCAGGACTTTGGAGAGTTTCTTTATTAGTACTGCTCTTGCTGAACTGGGGCTGAAATACTGATTCTGTAGAAATAGCAGTAAAATTTCTATTTCCCCTCATCACCCAATCATTCTCAGCCATCAGTGATAGGGATTTTGCCTATATCTAAAGTGAACTTTAATTTTGTTTTATAGGCATATAAAACATATAGGCTTTAGAGTTGCCTACAGCTATCTGTTCATTGGTCTCTATGGCTATTCTATTTCAGTCTGCTAAATAGAAGGGGAAAAAAAAGAAAGCTATTTCTAATATTTGCTTCTTTTTTTTAATGTTTTGAGCTGGGAGGAAGGAGAGACTCCAGAATCTTCTCAGATGTGGTTAAATGTATGTTTCCCCAACACTGGTGGACTGTGGTGCAGTTTGTTCCCTGATTGTGGCACCATCTAAAATTGCATAGAGGAAGTGGTAGTTCCTTTGGACTGTTTATGGACCTCCTTTGTGCTCCAGACACAAAGATGTTACAAAGATGTTTACTATAGGTGGTCTTGTTTTCTTGTGCTTATAATTTTTTTTCTTTTCACTTCTCCCTTCAAGAACTTCTTGGAGAGAAATCGGCTTATTGACCAGTCACATGTTCAGTCTAAATTGGAAAAGCTGGATATACTGGAAAAAGAGTACAGCAGACTAACTACAATGCAGTCCACAGCAGAGGTCTGTCATTTGTCTTGGATACTGTATCAGATTTATCTTGTTTATTGTAATCTGTACTTCATAGCTTATGACAGTAGCAGACCTGAGCAAAACTTAGTGCTTTAGAGCAAGACAGCAACTAAAATTTATTTTAAACTGAGGTGTTATGAAAATTTGACGTTATTGCTGCAAACGTACATGTCTAGTGTAGGCTTTGGGGCACTGCACTGCATTGCAAGAGTTGGAGTTTTGTTATGCCTTGATAGTCTGTTGGTGGTCCTCTTTTTTGCTTAGTTGATGCCTAGGCATTGTAAGATTGCAGCCATTGCTAAGATCTTGACTTGCGTCCATGCTACTGAATGCTAGCAGTTATTTTCTGTTATTATTGATATTCACCCTGCCTTGTATGAATTTGATGGTTTTTTTTTCCTCTTAGCCCTCCTTCTTAAGAAGCACAATTATTAGCAGTTTTGTGTACAGACTTCTGTGGCCACATGTTGCAAGGCCTCTAGCACTACGTGTCTCCCTGTGTGTTTGAGTCGGTCTGCCTTTTCAGGACTCTATTTGAATCAATAGCTTCTCCAAACTCAATGTGATCGTGTTTGGTTATATTGTGCTGTGGTGGGTTTACCCTTGAATTTTTATAATTTTCTTAATTTTATGGTGAGAAATAAAACTCAATCTCACCATGAACTGCAGGGGAATCTCTGCTCTGGCACCTAGAGTACCTTCTCCACTTCTCTGGTTAACCTTAGGGTCTGCAAGGCTTCTTCTTTCAAATATTCTCACTCCTCAGTTCTGGCTGCAGTTCTCCTGCAGGATTTTTTTCCCCTCCTTAAGTCTGTAATCCCAGAGGTGCTGCCACCATTGTTGTTTGGCTCAGCCTTGGCCAGCGGTGGGTCTGTCTTGGAGCCAATGCCATTAGCATTGGGAAGTTTCTGGCAGCTCTTCAGAGAAGCCACCCCTACAGCCCCATGGCTACCAATGCCTTACCACACAAACCCCATACATCTCTGTGCAACCCCTGTGGTGTTGGCCTCTGATGCCCCACCTACATACCCCTCTCTGCTGCTATAAGAGAGGCCACAAATCTCCCAAGCCTGGAAATTAGAGAGAACTTAACCAGGGAGAGGCTTCCTTCTGCAAATTTCTTCCCTGTTCCTGCAAAAGGACCAGATAGCACATGATTGGATTGTAGTATTATGGATGGCAGTTCTGGATTCTATCAAAATCATAGGCTTGCTACCCTGTACACCAGCCCTTACCTCAGGTGGTGAAGTGTTTCACCAGAAGTACATAAGGAGATGTTTGGTGGTAAATCTTTAGCTGCTTGGCTTGTAGGACATGTAGATACCACAACTTTTCTTGGAAGTCCCTTGGAAGCTGCCAAAGCAGCTGCAACAAGCTTTTTAAGATCTTGACACCCTGGTGTGGTGAGCTGCAGTTGCAGAGTACAAGGGATTGCATTGTTTACTTGGGCCAAACACTGGCAAAGAGAAATAAGAGTCTCCTGGGTCTTGTACTCTGAAAGTAGCAGTGATTTCCTCCAAGGTTAGAATTGAAACAACCTGCTCAGCAGCTGGCATTCCTTCTGAAAGGCTTTTACTAAGTTTTTGACTGGTAGTAGCTGAAGTTTGTTGAGACTGGGTTGTCTTTTTGTGCTTGGCTAGTGAAAATAAATTCAGCCTTATGGTTCTTTTGGTGTTCTTTTCTGGGTCAAACTAGAGATCTTTAATTCTTTATCTTTAGAAATTAGTAGCTGTATCAGTTGTGTTTTAGAGGAATTGGGTGTTAAATTCACTCAATTTTGAAGAATTCTAGGACCTGAAATAATTCTAGCTGTGCACTCCTGCAGTGCGCTCTCTGGACAGTTGACTGAGAAGATCTAAACATGTCTTTGTCTGAAGATGGAGTAAGAAATGTGGCTGTTCCCTAAAAGTGCACTTTGGGCTGTGGTCTTGTTTGTAGCCAGACAGCCAGAATTTGAATGTGTGTGTGGATGACATTTTCAACAACATAGTAATTGATCTTTATGCTAACAGTGAGACTTAAAACCACACTCTCCCCAGTTCTGTGGATTGGGCAAAACACCAGAACAGATTGTCTGCAGAGGTGGTAGATACCCTGTTCCTGGAAACATTGAAGATGTGTTTAGAAAAGGCTCAGAGCAGCCACGTGGTTTAATGGAAAGTGTCCCTCGGACTTAAGTGACCTTTAAGGTCCTTTCCAACCTAAACCATTCTGGGATTTTGGGATTCTATGAGTAGGTGGTTGCATGAAATTAATTTTCTGTTACAAAACACGTCAGAAATAGACGCTGAAATATTTTATTTCTATTTTGTCAATAAAGCTTTTGCAGTGGCTCCTGATGATTGAGTGGATGTTCAAGCAACCCAGTGCTGACCTGCAGTCTGCCTGCTGCTGCTTGCAGTGCTGTCTTACACAGATGGGCAGCACTGCAGGGCAGGGTCTGTTTGCTTGGCTCTGGGGCCTCTCTTAGTGACAATCCAGTAATCTGCATAATACCTTCTTCTATAAGTAAGAAAAAATGTTATTTAGGGAATGTAAGTTGGGTATATAATTTCTAAGGGGGTGTCACAGATGATGCAGTAAGATATATTCTTGCTGTGTAGTTTGAACTGCACCCTGGAGCTGAACAGGTAGCTGAGGGAATACTCATTCATTTCAGAATAAAAGCCTTGGCCCAGCTTCATGTCAATATTTCATGTCAGTTCTAAACAGAATATTTTCCTCTATTTTCATACTCAAAATTCTGTCAGACTTAAGATGTTAACATAAGGTCTTTGAGACTGACCACATAGATAAAAAGAGCTATGCCAATAATTGTAAAGGGCAGAAGATGATCAAGTTACCTGGAATACATTTATTTTGAATGAAAAAAAATCATCAGAATTATTCTTTCATTCAAAAGAAAAAGTTGGTTCCTTTATATAGTGCCTTTGTCCTCAATATTTATCCAGACTTTTGCCTTTTAACACCTTTGTATAACAGCTTGTTACATTGTTCTTGCAGTTAATGCTTAAGTAAAGCAGAACTGAAATATTTAGTACCTCAGTGTAGTGAATTTATAAACAAAAAAGTGTACAAATACAGCTGTCACTGTCTATAACGATTTTCTGCCTTAAGTTTGATTAGTGGCTCTGTGAATTATCAGTCTCTGGGGGAAGAGAAGAGAAATTGATTTGGGGGCTGGAGCTCTGGGTTGTTTTTTCAGTGCTGTATAAAGCCAGAAAGTTATTTGATAACTTTCACATTGGGAATTTCAGTGTATCTTGTTTAAACAATGTTTTCATCTTGTTGGAGGTTTACAAAGAAATGTGTGCTTTCCCCATTAACCTTTTCCTTTGAAAAAGTGTTTCGAAAGAGGTCTTACAAGCTTTTGTGATAAAAAGATGAAATTACTTCAGTTTTATTTAAAGGTATCTCAGGGGCATCATACAACCTTTCCTCCCTCTTCTTTATGAGGAAGGTGGCTAGATGTTAAAAAATTCTTTTCTTGTAAGAGTCTAAGTTACAGATTTTAGCTAAAATACCATTAGTGGTCTAAATAAAGCAAGTCTTATCTTGCCTTATAATGACACATCTTTGTTAGCTCTTTTGTAGTACAGAATCATGGAGGACCATGTACACAAAGCAGCCTACTGTCTAGGGTGTTTTTAAAACTGAAGAGAAAGAGCCTTGTGTATTGCTTTGTGTATATTTGTCTGTGACCTAACTTCAGATACCAATTGTGAAAGTAAGAATAGAAAAATCAATTTAAATGTTAAGCATAAGCTTTTGACTACTGTATTTATGCCTATACAGGCAAAACATCAGCAGTCATTCTAATGCTCAAGTCTTCATTTATCCGTAAGTCGTAAGATGAACTCAAGAGTTTTGTGCAATCTCTTAATATTGTAGGCTTCAGAAAGAAAAAAAAAATTGTTTCATTAGTAACACTATTATTTTGATTCAACTTTGACTAGAGAAAAATGAAAGAGCTGGAACAGAAGCTTCATGAGGAAGAACATGCAAGGAAGCTTGTTCAGGAAAAAGCAGCTGAGGTAACCAACAGGAAATTTCTTTTGTACTGGTATGCACTGTAATTAGCTCTTCCTTTTTATCAACTTTTCAGCTAAGCTTACTGAAAGTGCCCCCCCATATGCCTCACAGAATAGTGAAATGCTGGTTTTAGTCTTTTTTTTCTGTTTTCCCTCTTGCCTGAGGTACCAAATGTTCTGAAGTTCTCTGAGTGTTTTGGAAACCACTGAAGCTTTGCTTTCTTTACTAAAAGTTGGAAAAGAGGAGTAGAAATTCAGACTAATCCATAATTATGGATGTATGAATAAGTATACATGGGAACCTTTCAACATATCAAAGTCAACAAATGGGCCCCCTTCTTCATAATTGTAATTAAAATTGTAATTAAAGAAGGAAGCAAAAAAGAGGCAATGTACTCTTGATTATGAGCCCTTAAGGATGCTGGCTGGTCTTCTAACCTGAAAGTGTGGTGTTTATTAAGCATTCATTGTATGCTGGAGACTTACGGACATAATGTGTTAGGCTCTAACATTAACCTTTGCCATAAGTTTGGTGTGATGGGGAAAGTGCTACCTTAAATTAATAATGAAAAATTGTGCTGTGAATGCTTCTTCAGGACATAATTTCTAAAGCCATGCCATATCGGCCTCTTGAACAGTGAAGCATGGTAGGATCCTCACTGTCGACAGGAAGTTCTAACCTTAACTCTTTCAGTAGATGGTTTGGTGGTTAGTTTGTTATTGTGGTTTTTGTTTGTTTGTTTGGAGTTTGTTTTTACTGTCAAATTTAATAGAACAGTAGGAGTAACTGTATGTCATGGGATCAGTTGATCATGGTTGGGTGGCTTGAGCTCCCCAATAGCTTGCCAAGTGTAAAGCACAGCTGATCTTTTGGCACTTGCCTGCATGGGACTAATGGACTAAGGCTAATTCTCTAATTTGCTAGGATTACTGATGAGTAGTGCTAACAGAGGAAGTATTTAATGTTTAAGTTGGCCTTTGACTGCAAAAATATCCTAAAAATTTGCAGCTCTTGCTTCTGGAGAGCCTGTGTTTTAAAAATTCTTGCAGTTCTCTGCTTGTACTGTCTCTGACTATATATTGATATAATTTCAGTAATTGGCTGTATTCCCTCAACTTTAGCTTCAGACAGGCCTGGAAACCAACAGACTGCTGATTCAAGCAGCATCCCCACTGCTTTCTCCAAAAGCAAGACAACCCAGGAAAAAAGCTAAGCAGCCAGAAAAGGTAAGATGTGGGAAAGAGAAGGGCAATTACTAAGGAGTTAAATAAGGTTGCGTGCATGTGATCAGGGAGCAGGTTGCTTCTTTTACTACAAAGTAAAAGGAAAGGGTGTTTGCTGTAGTATAAATTTTTTGCTAAATACTTTTCTTTTCTTTCTTTCCAGAAATGCTCTGTCAGACATTCTACTCTGCAGCCCCATTACAGGTTGTGTCTGGGTGATGTACCCTTTGTGGCTGGGAAGGTGAGCTGATTAATTCCAAAGCTTAGAGCTCAGTAGCTGCAGCTCCTTAAGGCACTTCGGGTTGGTGCACTTCTGACACCCAGTGGTCAGATAATTTAATTTTCTTTGACACTTTTCATACAGATTGTCTTTGAAATGCTTGTTGGATATTGACAGCTAGCTGAGCTGGTACTTCCAAAAATAAGCCTGCACTATGCTGCTTGACAAGATGTTCTTGTTACTGCATATTAATTCAAACAAAAATTACATTCTTGTCAGTAAAAGTGGCACTGTTTTTAAATACTCCCCAGTATTACAAAGTCGTTGATAATCCCATTTAAAAGAAATCTCTTTTCCTTTCAGTCTACCAGTCCCAGTCATTCGGTTTCTGCCAATGTGCAACATGTGCTACACCTGATGAAACATCACTCGAAAGCTTTGTGTAACAGACATGTGGTGAACGATTGTCCAGCAAAACCCACCAGTGCTGGTCATCCTGCCAGCAAAAGCAGGCAGACATACATGCCAATGGACTCATCCTCATCTCAGGAAGAGCTCTCAGAAGTGTTGCTGACTTTACAAGATGAATTGGGACAGATGAGTTTGTGAGTGTAGCATATATTCTTCTGAAGATTATGAATGCAGATGTTTCATATTTTTTCCTTGTTGCCTTGAATGTGGGAGGTTTTTCCTGAGAAGGTTCTTAGTTAGGAAATCTCTAGAATGTAATCTTTCTGGCTGCAAAGGCCATCAATGCTCCTTGCAGTTAGAGGCTCTGCTAAACAGGCTGAACACCAGACCTGTGCTTATGTGCCAGCAGTATTAATCTCAAAAGAGGCAAAGGAGAAGTGTGGTCCCAACCCCAAATGCAGTGGGCTGTTGTGGTGTGGACCCAGCCAGCACAGAACCCTGCTGCCACTCACACACGCCCCCCCACACACACCTATCCCTCCCCCGTGTTGGGATGGGCAGTATTCACCCCTTATATTGTTCCATTTATATCCTGCCCAAGCCCCACACTTTTCAATATGTCCCAGTTAACCACCACCACCTTTCCAGTCTTTTGATGCAGGTACACACAGGTATCATTTGGTAGTCTATGGACTATCCCTTTACTAGTCCATTGAATTAACTTAGGCTATGACTTTGGACTCAGCTGTCATTACAGTCTTTCAGGGCAGGAAAAGGTGGTGGATAGCTGAATGGCTGAAGTGACTTGAGAGTGCTGGTGGGTGAGGCTGGACATGACCCAGCCATGGGCACTCACAGCCCAGAAAGCCACCCATGTCCTGGGCTGCATCCAAAGCAGCGTGGACAGCAGGGCCAGGGAGGGATTCTGCCCCTCTGCTCTGCTCTGGAGACACCCCACCTGCAAGGCTTGTCCAACTCTGGAACTGCCTACATAAGAAGGATGTGGGCCTGCTTGAGTAAGTCCAGAGGAGGCCAACAAAGACAATCAAAGGGCACCTCTCCTTTGAAGACAGGCTGAGAGCTGGGGTTGCTCAGCCTGGGGAAGAGAAGGCTGCAGAGAGACCTCATTGGGGCCTTCCAGGGCTCAAAGGAGGCTAGAAGAGAGGGACTTTTTACAAGGGTGTGTATAGTGTTCACACGAGGGGTAATGGCTTTAAACTAAAAGGGGGCAGACTGTGAGGATGGTGAGACACTGGTACAGATTGTCCAGGGGAGGTGTGGATGCCCATTCTTGGAGATATTCAAGGTCAGCTTAGATGGGGTTCTGGGCAGCCTATTCTAGTTGAAAATGGCCCTGCCTATGGTAGGGAGTTTGGAACTCAATGATTTTTAAGGTCCCTTTCAACCCAAATCATTCTGTCATCTCTTGCTCTTTGACCTTCAGCGCCCCCACATCAGAAGGGTCCAGATGCTTCATTTCCTTTGTCTCCAAGGACATGTGGGCTATGTGGAGAGCCCAACAGTACCCTTTTGAGTCCTTAAAATGCCCCAGCCCAAGACAGTCTCTGCCAAGGATGCACAGAGCCTCTGGGACAGTCACAATGGGGTGCTTTTGCCAGTCATTTTGTCAGGCTGGTTTCAGCCTCCAAGACTTTAGGGATGTCTCCAAGCTGTTGGGATGCCCCTGTCACTCCAGAAATCCAGAAATACAGGTGGGTTCTGCCCCTGTACAGTTTGATGGCGTTAGGGTACACTGTGCACCGGATCTGCTAAAGCCTTGTATTCCCATGGGGCTGATGTGCCCAGGTCATCTGATCCACTCAGCCCAGCAAACCTGGTTGTCCTTCTGCACCTGGTTGGAGAGGGGGCTCCTCTAATACTGGTCCTAGGATTCTCCATTTCCTGTAAAAAATGATTAGAATTCCTTTCCATAGGATTAGGAATAGCATCAGCCCTGCCATTCTGTCTGGGAGCTGCCCACTGAAGACTTAATCAGCAGCTTCCTGGAAGAATTCCTATGTGTGCGTTTTTTTTCCCTGCAATTCACATACTTGAGCCTCTAGGGTCAAGGCATGGGTTTTCCATCCCACTTGATGTTCTCCCTGTGGTGTGTACCCTCTATATCATGTCTCTGGTGTAGAAGGTAGCTTTCTGTGCTGTGGCTTGACCAGCAGCTGCTCACTCACTGCCCCCGGGCACAAATCCCCCCCTGATCTGAGCCCCCTTCAGCACCATGTTGGATCCCAGCACTGGGACCACGCTGGTTTTGAGTCGCACGGGACACAGGGAGGCTCCGGGGCTGTTGTGCTCAGCCGGGAGCAGGAGGGGAAGGAAGGGGAAGGAAGGTGTGGGCCCGCGTCTGCGCTGCGGGCTCGGCCGAGCCGGCAAAGAGCGGGGTGTAATTACACCGCTGCGCCGGCAGATGGCGCCCGCAGCGCGCGCTCCCCGGGAATGGCACGGCATTCCCTGGCACCGTAAAGCAGCACTGCGACCGGCCACTACCGAACCACTACACCGATGCCTAGCAAAGACTTGTCTTCACACACTCTGGTCAGACCTGTCGTTAGCCCCTCACGGCCCACGTCGCATGCCAGAAAATACTGCCTTGGTTTAACCCCAGCTGGTGGCTAAGCACCGTGCAGTGGCTTCCCTGCACCTCTGCTCTGGTGGAATGGAGAGGGAAATCGGGAAAAGGAAAAACCCATGGGCTGGAACAGGGACAGATTAGTAACTGAAATAAAGTGTAATGAAAAAGGGAGAGGGATAAAATGCAAGGTAAAAAGTCCTGTGATGCATAGTACAATTGTTCATCACCTGCTCTCCGATGCTTGTCCCCAGCAGCAGTTGTCCCTCATGGCTAACTCTCCCTAGTTTGTAATACTGGGCATGATGTTCTATGGTATGGACTATCCCTTTGACCAGTTTGAATCGGCTGCCCCAGATATCTGCCTGTCTCAGCTTCTTGTGCCCCAAGGAGACACTGAAAAGCCCTGGCTTAGGGTACATACTGCTGAGCAACAATGAAAACATCAGTTATCAACATTATTTTCATATTAAATCCAAAATACAGCAATGTAACAGCTACTAAAAATGGAAACTATCCTAGCCAAAAGCAGGATCTGGGCAAATAATCCATTAAAGGACAGCTTTGCTGGGTGTTTTGCTTGTCCTGATTAACAGAACATGAATTTATACTGTATTGCACAGCTGCAGTAGGTACAGATAGACATAATATTAACTGAGTGCCGAGATCAAGCTCTCAAAGGGTTATTTGGTCATTTTGAATATGCATTTTGTAGTTTTAAGCTACTTAAATTATTGAGACTCAATGTTGCAGTAGCCTGCCACCACAATGTGCTACTGTAATAATGCTGCAAACCAGCAACACTGTTCTTACTGGTTTGTTATGGCATGTTGAACATGTCTGGCTGGTGATGCAGTGGTTTTCTAGAAGTGTTATTTCTGAACTGGGTACAAGATGTAGAAGCCAATGGAACCTGATGCAAGCCTTGTTCTGTGAATTGTGTGCTAGTGATCACCAGCAGCTGTCAAAGCTCATCCTGGAAGCCCCAAGTGATACAGTGAGGGAAGATCTGGAGAGGGAACTTGAGACACTGGTGGAAAGGATGGAAGCAAAGGCAGACCAAATCAGCAAAGTTCAGAAGCATCGTTTGCAGGTGAGTTTCCTTTGCCTGTGATCATACTTCTGTAGAGTTGCTGACTTAAGCAGGGTTTTTTTGTTATATCCTAATCTAGCAGCAAATGCATAAAGCAGAAATAACTAGAATACCACTGTCTAATTCTACCTTTCATGTCCCGAAGTTAGTCTGCATACCTCCTTCCATCCCAGTATTTTTGAAGAAACATCTTTTCTGTCACCCTTGTGCCCACTCCTGCACAGGGCTTTTGCATCTGTTCTCACATTGAATTTTACACTCCTTGTCTCTTGAACACTGTTGAACAGTTTTCCTTTACTTAGAGTAAATGACCTATTTATGTTTTGATTTGCTTTTTTTAAGACTCACAATACCTGTTTTGCTTATTTTATAACTTTCAGAATGTTTTAGTGTAGCTTTTTCATTCAAAGCTATAAAACATACTGATTCCCAGTTTTCTCTTGTCTTCATTAATTTTGGTGAATTTCTTTCAAAGAGCTGAAGCCCATGTGTTTAATCTGGTTCAGTTCATACAAACCACGATTCACCCTCACCTGATGTAACTTATACACAAAACACATGCTGAGACCTGACATCCAGAATGGACCTGTGAAATGCTTGCTGTTAGAAGCATTACTCACTTTTGATAACTTATGATCTTCAGAGGAACTGCTGCAGAAAAGCAGATGTGCTATAGTTCTCAGCAGTAATGATGCTGCATGTGCTATTGGCAAAAGCTCTAGGAGCTGGGGTTTAGGAAAATTACAGCATGCTGTCAACTAGAAGGCAAGATCACCACCACCTGCAGAGAGGGAAGCTATAGAAGCCACCCATGTTGTGGCTTGAGTGTATGAATGTGTCTGAACCTCAGAGTGTCCAGTTCCCCGTTCAGTCTTTGCTGGGGACTACTTAGACTCACATGCTGTGATTTTTACAGAGCTGTGTGTGGATACCACCTTTTCACCCTGGCAGAGCTCTAGTATTCTTTCAAAGCTACATCTCTAAAAGTGACTAGCTATTAAAATTACTATTATGTGTGTAAAAAACCCTTGTTTTATTTTCTTTTTTCATCATTGGATGGTAACAATGATAAATCAACTTTTTTCATCTGCATCTTTTTATGGTACATTCCTGATAGCACTGTTCCCCCATAACAAATGTCTCAGTTTTTAGAGAGGAGGTAGATCACTGTAAGCTAAACAGAGCTCTAAAGATACAAATATAACAAATGCTTTGTAAGGAAAATGAAGTATTTATTGTTCAGTGCAACTTGGAAACAACCATTTGCTTACCTGGGTGAGATAAGCAGTGGGATATTTCAGCTGATTGGAAGAATTGCTGAACATAAAACTAAAACAAGATCACTTCTTAATGTTTTGCTTTGGGTTTCTCTTTCAGCTAGAAAGACTTAAGAGAGAATACAAGTCCAGAAGGACTTCTGCTAAACAAATAAAAGACAGCAGGTTCCCAGTCAGTGAGGTTAAAGTAACAACAACAATAACCACAAAAGGAAAGAATGCAGGTCCTATCAAAGTGAAGCCTGGAGAAAAGAGTCGGAAAAATCTTCAGTTGCTGAGAGACATGCAGACCATAAAGACTTCACTACAGGAAGATGATGTCAGCTGGGACTACTGACTCTTTTGCAGGAGATGTTCTTGAAGCATCCTAACCAAACTCACATTCTGGATCTAAAGCAGCTGCCTTTCTTGCTGTGTGGAAGACTACTGTACGCTAAGCACATTTTTGAAATACAGGCTTACAGGCTCTTGACTATCCATCCCTGAATTTGACTGAATATATTATGGTCTAACTTAAATCATGTTCCATTTTCAAGGTACATGGCCAGTGAATCTTAATAGTAGGGTTCCCCCAGTTCCCTATGTTATGGTTCCAGCAGTCTCTCTGTTTTGTTCCAGCACACCGAGCACTGCACACTTACATGGGTTGGTGTGTGTGTGTGATGCGCCAATGCCATTTCCTGCTGTTGATCTGGGAGGCCTCTCGGGATGCATCTTGTATGAAAACAGTGCTGCAGTCCTGGGTGGTGAGGGCTTTTGTCAGTTCTGTTCTGTGTGCAGCTGCAATGACTACCATCTCTAGGAGTGTCTGAGGGAGAACAGGTAAACCCCTTCAAAGGTGTTCAGTGGGGCTCTCTACAACAGGCATCCCTGCTTCTTGATCTGCTACATTGCATTAGTCAGCATCAGTGGGAGTGGATGTTTGACTACTTTGAAAAGGAGCAAAGTAATTTATGAATTACATTGCTTAATGATCAAGTGAAATGTTTATACAGAAATCCTGCTTTAGGGAAATGCTGTAGGCTAGGGGGTAATACCTGTCTCTAGCCAACAGCTTTGGGTGATAAGGGAGTGAGAGAAACCATACAAGTGTTTCAAATTGCAAGTGCCTCAATTGTGCCATTTAGTCCTGGCATCTTGCTTTTAACTTAAGTATGTGCTTTGATGAGCTATCAACTTTGGTAGTAGTGCAATTAAGTTTGTGCTCTGACTTGCACAGTAGATTAAATGTTATTTATTATGTTAATAATGTACAGAATTTCCTGTTAATGAATGTATAGAAGACCCAGATTACCTGTATATACAGTTGAAAAATAATAAAGCCAGCTTGCCTGTTGAATTAATTGTAGGAAAGCTGCACTTCCTCTACATTAGCTGGGTGTTTGCTGCAGCACTGTGCCACAGCCAGTGGGCCTTTCATGGCAAGGTGACTTCTCCCTGGTCAGGGTGATGAATGAGAGCTGCAAGTAAGGTTAAAGACAGAGTAGTCCACCTTTGCCTGTAGCTGAACAGGCAGAAAACTGCAGGGTCAGCAAAGGAGAAAGGGGTTGAGTTTGTTGCCTGTAGGTGATCCACCCAGCTCGTCTCCTTGCTCATAGGGTGTTAGATGCTGCTAACTAGGTATAATTGGAGTAAAGACTTAAAGAGCAGTTTGTGCCAGGGTTCCTAAAAATTCAGTAGCCGAAACTCACACTTGGTCATTTTGCTTGGAAAGGGCCTCTGGAGATAGCCCTGTCCCTGGAAGTTTTCAAAGCCAGGTTTGATGGGGCTTTGAGCAACCTGGTCTAGTGGAAGATGTCTCTGCCAATCGAGGGGGTAGAACTAGATGATCTTTGATGGTCCCTTCCAACTCAAACCATTCTGTGATTCTGTTTTTATAATACTGAGCAGCTAAGCGCTGTATCTGTATTAATCCTGGTCTGTATGGGATAAATGAAACTTGTCCAAAGATGAATCTTGGTTTTCTATCATTCCAGACTTGAGTTTCAACATTAGCAACTTGAAATACCCTCTACAGAAGAATGAGAGAGGTTTGGATTTCACACACTGAACTTGCAGTGCTATTTATTTAATCTCTGCATGTCCTGCAAGTCCTTTGTAAAACCACATAGTTGAAAATAAGAGCGCAGGAACTTTATCAATTTATCAGTTTTTATTAGCATTAAGGAAACCAAACAGCCTTCATCAAGAAACAAAATATACACACATAGTCAATTTGCTAATACAGAACAATACTTTAAACCGTCTTATATAGTGATTGTAGGTAAGAGCAGACCTGCCCTTTAACCTCAAAGCAAATCCAAGTCCTTAGAAAGTATTTTGTGTGGATTCTTTGCACTACATAATGTGACAGGCTACCCCATAACAACTGTGGTGATGCTGTGCAGCCTGTTGCCCATCCTGTCAGAAGGTGGCTGTGGATTTCTCTGTAAGCATGGTGTGGTGATGGCAGCAGCAGAGCAGGCAGAAGTGGAGACTGCAGGAGGAAATGGCTGCTAACTGCCTTGGAAAGAATGTGGTTTTTGAAAGGCCATTTCTTAGGTGGAAATAGGTCTGCTCTTACACTCCCTTCAAAAATCCTTCTCTAGTGGAATAGCAGCTAACAGGTGACCACAGTCTAGATCTGATCCTAAAAGAGCAACACAGGAACCCACACCAAGCAGTACCCCCTTCTCCTCAGCAGAGTGGAGAAGCAGCCTTGCACACACTTAACTGCCTTTGCTCTAAGAGCCCTCCCCTGCAACCCTGTGCTTACCTGTTCGGAAGAGCAAGGAAGCAGACATGGTTTCACCAAGTATGTGTTGTATCTCCTACAGTAAATTTTTGTATTACAATTCAATTTCAGCTTGAATTTAGTTGACTGACACCAGTTCTTGAAGCAGACTATGAGGAAAAAGGTAGGGTTTAGAAAATGGCTAAGCTGTTCAGCCTGCCAGAGAAACCTAAAGCAGCAGTTGCAATGCAGGCAGAAAGGCGTCTTTGGTTGATGCACAGTTGCTTCCATGAGTTAGCAGAAAGCTGAAATACTGTAAGTACACCACTATAACCCTGCACAAAAGCATTAAAATTGCTAATTATGCTTACCCAAGCAAAATGTAATGGCTGATCCCAGCAGTTCACATGTGCCCCTTGGTATTCCACTACCTTTTCCCCCGATGACTATGAGGCACTGGAGGCCAGAGGAGCTGTGGAAAGCCCAGGGGAGCCACACTGTGCTTCCCCCTCTGCAATAAAGGTGCTTAAGTTGCATCCTGGCACACCCACTGTAAACCATAAGTGAGATTCCAAAGTTGCAGAGATGGAAGGAAACGTTGTCCTACAAAATCAAGTCCTGTATTGTTGCACCTCTACCACAGTGTTTTTTTGGGAGAAGCTGCCCTTTCTTTCAATAAGGCATCATTTACATGGCTTCCTATGCTCTAGGTTGAGGTGAAGGGAATGACGTGTTTCAGACACTGCTGTTGCTTGTTTCCAGGTGTCCTGGCAAACGCCTGCATTGACTCTGCTGTGCAGGAGGGTGTGGGATGGCACAGCTGCATCTGAAGCTCCAATACAAAGTCAGGTTTGGCCTTTCAAACTTCTGAGAAGATGTTTCTCCTCCATGGCACTTCATGATCATTCACAGACTCTTTCAAACCATGTGATTTCCAGCACATCAGTGAACAAAGAGCAAGCTCCAGGCCTCTTACAGGTGGCAAGTGCAATTGGCTTGTATTCTAAGCTAGCCACTGTGAAGGGTAATTGCATAGGGGGTCTTGTCTGTGTTGATTTTTGCTTTAAGCTTTCTCTAGTGCTACAGTACTAATAAATTACCCTGGAAAGAAATAAATAAATAAGTTGGCATCTCCCAGGCACCATGCTGGAAATCCAGGAGGTTTCATAAAAGCTGCCCCCCATGGTCCTGGGAAGGTAATCAGCAAAAAAAGTCTGTATTATACAACTGTCTGTACAGGAGCGACGCACTGTGCGGGAGAGCCGGCTCGCTCCGAGGACGAGGTGGAACGGTTGGTGATTTCTCTCTGCAGTTCCTCCACTCTCTTCTGCAGCTCAGCCCGCTTGGCCAGAAGCTCCTTGTAGCGATTGTGAACAGGTTCCTGCAAGGAAATGTGCAGCTGAGCACTCGGAGGTCAGCGTGGAAGAGGGAGCCTGAAGCACAACTGCTGCTGACCTTACAGACAGCTACGAGGGAGGGAGGTACATGAGTGTCACCAGTCTCCAGCCCACAGGTACCTGAGTGGTTGCTCTGGCTCCTGGCTGCTTATTTGGATCAAACATGCACAGTGCAATGGTGGCTAAACAAAACAGTCTGTACTTATTTTGAAAGATGATGGCTGCCAAACTGATCTCTGACATTTCTGGGGGACACTTGCCATGGCATCTCAGCCTGGACATAATTTCAGGGGCTTGGGAGGAAAAAACTCAGCCAGATTCTTCTAAATATTTTCACATAGTTCTGGCTGTTGAACAGTCAGCACTGCAAAGTGTTTTCTGGGTTCCTGTCTCTAATGCTGCAGATCTGCAAAACTGCTACCTGCAGATGGGCACTGAGGCAATTGCGAATTTTTGTCCCTTTCTACTAAAAAGTGATGTCAGCCTTCAGGGTCATGCTCAGAGTGCTAGTCTGAGATGCCTGCCCTGGGCAAGCCAGCTTCCCTGCTGGCTGGGGTCAGACCCCTGTGCCTCAGGCAGCCAGAGCAAGCAGCAGGTTCCCATCACCAGTAATTTAAATACAGCCCCAAAATTCCTATATAGAGCCCCACATTCAGAGAAGTCTTGGGGGTTTTAGGATCTTTTGTAAAGAGAATTCAGATAATTTTTCCCACATTCGAAGTGAGAAATTTCCCAGTTCACTGGGAATCTTCAGCTCCTCTAGACTTCACAATGTGGTGATGTCCAGCTGGGCACCTGCATTAGGCAGCTCAAGGTCGTGCTTGCTCTTGCTGGCATTTGAATTTAGGGTTTGTTTTCAGATTTAAGCAGTGGCAGCGTAAGTCTGTACATTACCTAAAGGTCTTGACCTCCAAAGTAACAGGATTGGTACTAGCAGAGAGGGAAGCAGGAGCAGGAAGAGGCGTACCTGGGGCTTCATCCTGGGGTTCCAGCGGATGTAGTAGCCGACCCATAGCTCGAGGTGGCGCATGCTGGCCACGGGATACAGGACGTGGTTGGAGTAGCTCACGTACAAGGGGTTAGTAAAGTCTTCCAGTTGGCTGTTGATGTAAGACCAAAGTGATACAGTCTTTTTTGGAAGGCTCTGTAAGGGAAGGGGGTGGAGGAGGCTTTATTTGCCATACGAATCCCAGCTATCTACAAACTAGCAGCATAGCCATATGCCTGTCATTAATATGGAGCTGGTTGTGTTTTGTAGCTTAAAAAAAATCCCCAAAACTGTTCTTTTGATGTGGTTATTGTACTCAAAGCACATGGATGCAGGCAGGCACACGCACCATGGCACAGAACAACCCCTTTGACCCACCCAGCTGTCAACACAGATCAGGAATCACCACTGCTACAGTGAGGGGACACTGGCATGTGAACTCCCAATGCTTTAGTTAAACTTCACTTCTCTGAAGTGCTCCTGGAGGACTTGCTGGAGTATTTAATTGCAAAGGAAGAAAAGAAAACATTTGACTTAGGCCCTGATCTAGTGGAATAATTACGCCTGTGAATACTCCCACTCAAACCAGTGCTGAAGTGCTTTCTAGATTAAGTACTTCACTAGGCTGAGGCCTTTAAAAAAAAAATCCAAGCCCATGTGTAAACAGCATACAGATTTTCTTCCCTGGAAATGACAATTATTCAATCACTGTGGACTCCAGAGAAACAGGGACACTGATTCCACTATAGTAAAATGCTATCACTTTTATTTTCCACCTAGTTTTTATGATTATTTTTAACTAATGTTCTATCACATGTAATCACATCAGGTCCACACACCACTGCCTCGTGTACCTCTGTGCTGTTAGGCTGCAGCCTTTGGTGACAGAATGCTTCATCTTTAGGTAGGTGAGACAGAGTGAGTGCCACTGTTTTCCTTCTAATTCCAGACTGGGTCTGGATGTACACATCCTCTATGCTCCTCCCTGGGCAAACAAACCCTGGCCAGACTGCAGGGCAGAGCTGGCTTGTGGCAGGACAGAGAGGCACGTCCTTAATAATAGTAGGAGAATTGTCCTCTCCCAGGAAGATGCAAGCACAGCAGGAACGCACATAAAGACCAGTTATTTGCTGTAACCTGTGTGTGCAGAATGACAGCACACACGAGGTAGTTAAAAGCACCCTAAAGGGATCATTGCAAAGAAAAGGCTCAACAAAAAAGTACCAGTTCCCACAGAGAAGCTTACAGTAAACTGAAGTTCAAAGTAAAACTGCATTTCCACTGCCTGGGAGACACCAGGAGCTATTCAACCTGTGACTAACTGGAAGTAGACAGAGTGTCCAGAAAGGAGATGGTGTTGCTCTGAAACATGAAGCCTCCAACAGGCAGTAGTTTATGCAAACAGGAAAATCCCCCAAGTCCCAGCTGTGGAGAAGGGGGCCTGGCATCTCTCAGACTCACATCTACAACTATCTCTGAGTGAAGAACCAGCTTCTGTAGCAATATCTGGCCAGCTAAAGCAATCGGGAACAGGCTTTTACCTTGGAGAGAAGCTTTCTTACCTCCTTCACCCTCTGCTGCTCACTGCTGCACAGAAAGGTCCCAAACAAACAGCTGTACAGGTGATCCAGGATGGTGATCAGGAAGTACTCATTGAACTCAAATGCTGTAGGAAACTTTAGGTAGAAACAGAAAATTAGGCTGAGATTTTAAAACAGGAAAATAAACTTTATCCCATGCTGTGGTCTTGGTAAGGAGTTGGTCTCTTGATTTCTAGAACAGAATCTATCCCTGTTCCCTGCCTGGCTGGATATTCAGGGTCATATTTGCTCCTTCCAGGAGCAAGAGTTTCCCTC